TTTACCAGATGCTTAGCTCTGCCTTGATTCTTCCGCAGAGGAGAAATTGAGAACTTCCTCCACACAAGATACTTTGTCTTTCTAGGGTATACCCTGTTACATCACATAGCAAAAGTCTGTCCAAGTGTGTCTTCACATATTCTCCCTTCTTTTCGTTGAGAGCTGTTCTTGCGCTGCAGGCAAAACACCGGGAACATTGTGGAGACTAAGACAATGTTTTCAAAGCCTGGAGACTGCAAAACCTATTTTGAGCCATAACAGATGCTACTGGACATATGGAACAGCTGAGGGGACTTGCATCAGGACTGTAAATGTTCTGCAGATCTTTATGTCCCTGACTCAGTGGGTGGATTTCCTATGAGAACTGGAAACCAGAAAGAGGAGAAGTGGATATAAATGCAAATCAGTAACGTACATGACTCTCCTGCGGAAAATTTGCCACAGGGAAAGGTGAGTAGCATATCTTTGGTGGGACAAGGCTCTTAATGGCCAAAAAATAGCCTAAACCCCAGCCCTCATGTAGGAAGAGGGTCACATTGTCCTGTGGCTAACTTGAGATTGGAGATTTTACAGCTCTATATAAATTTGAGAATCCCAGGCCAGCATGTAAACTCGTCAATGGTTTATTGCTATATTTTACCATCTGCAGTAGTCTTGTGAAGCACTTTTGGACTTTGTAAAAACAGTCTGGTCAGTGGTTCTCCAAAAGTAATCCCACAGTCCTTTGTTCCTCACAAGTCTTTGTCCCCTGCCTTCCTCTTCCTTCCCTGCTGCTGCCTAGCAGTCAGGTCGCAGTATTTCACGCTCCGCTTCCTGATGAACATTTCGTTGCCCTACAAACTTTCCCAAATCCTAAAGTAGCCCTTCTTCTGCCAGCACAGCTGTCCCTTTGCACTGATGACCACTGCTTGAGCAATGGTAATTGCGATTACCTGCAGGCACTTTTCTTGTTCCTCTCATCTCTCCTGGTCCCAGCACACAACCAGGTGCTATGTTCTGTTCTCTCTCGTCCTCCCAGCCCTCTTCCAGCAGAAGTGCTGAGTGATGCACATAAACACACAGACTATGGTCGCAGATCACACAAAGCATGAGGGACTAGAGAAAGATTAGCATGCCTGTATGCCTTGGGGTCTTTCTCTTCCTGCTGCAGTGTGCCTGGCTCAGCTGGCAGTCAAGCTGGCCTCTGTTGGTTACAAGTGAACTGTCTTCCTCCCACGCCCAATGCCAGTGTAAGAAATTTTCTTTGCCCAATTCGCTCTTGGCTTAATGGCAAAATATCAGAGCATTACTTGTTCTCCCTTACCCACTTCCTATAGAGAAGAAAGAAGAGATGGTTTCTTCTCCAGTGCCTCATGCCACAGTATATTCATTAACTAAATGGTTGCACAGGTTTAATCCCAGACGTGTGTTCCCAGCCTGCCAGACTGGTGACACTGTTCGGGCAAACAGAGGGTGATGCCTGCTCCCACTGCCATTGCACAATGCAACAATTCCCTAAGAATCAGAATGGTTTGGATTCTTTAAAGCTCATCCAGTTCCAACCCTCTGCCATGGGCAGGGACACTTTCCACTAGACCAGGTTTCTCCAAGCCCTGTCCAACCTGGCCTTGGACACTGCCAGAGTTGGAGCATCCACAGCTTCTCTGGGCAACCTGTGCCAGTGTCTCACCACCCACACAGTGAAGAACTTTTTCCTAACATCTAATATAAATTTACTCTCTTTCATCCCTCTGGATGGCATCCCTTCCCTCCAGCATGTTGACCACACCACAGAGTTTGGTGTCATCAGCAAAAGTGCCAAAGGATACACTCGATACTACTGTCCATGTGACCAGCAAAGATGTTGAACAGGATCATTCCCAACCCCTAGGAACACCACTCATCATTGGTCTCCACTAGTACATCAACCAGAGCAGATTTGCAACATCAGTGATACACCATGTGTGCCATGCATGCAGCTGACTTGTCAGGCTGTGATGTATGCATGGAGTGCTGCAGTGTGTGTATCTCTGCAGGTTTGCACTGCAGACCTGCTGGCTGCTGGACCAAGAAACTCTCTGTTTGCTGCCTGTTCGGTTTTCCTCCACTCTTTCTTGTTCAGCCCCATCACCTGACTACCCAGTGGCTGTCCAGTTTTTCCTGCCCCCAGTCTGTCTGTGCAATTGTCCCTGTGGTTTAACTGGGTACTCGGCAAAGCTGTACAGCATTACACAATCGCAGTGACCCATATAAGCTCTGGCCTGCTCTTGTCTCTGTTCTGTGCATGTGTTTTGTGTGTATCATCAAAGCTGGAAGAACAGCCATTAGATTATTTACATTTATTTATTCTCTGTTTTACTGCTTGGTTTTAATGGACCTTAACAAGGGCATGCTGATTGCGTCTCAGCTTTATTTGGTGATGGTGTGCAAGTCAGACCTGTATTTACCCCATACCACCATTTCCTCATAGCATTTCGTTTGGTACCTCTTTGCAGGCTGACTCCTTCCTAAAGAGGATTTTCATGTACTGTGGTGAGCACCCTGGCCTAGGGGGTTTGCGATAAATCTTGTGCTACATGTTGCAGAAAAGAAAGCTCTGTAAGTAGGAGTGGTGTACCGTGACCTCTTTCCTTACTTCTTGTATACCTTTAGATTTACCAACTAACCTTTCACACTATGGTCCTGGGGTGAGCAAGACTTAAGTGCTAGCTGCAGATGGAGGCAGGTGGTGGTGGAAGAAAATGTGCTCTACATACAGACCATCCCTGACCCATGAGCAGCACTGGCATGGGAGAGATTGGGGAAGAAGGTGTCGAGAACAAGAAATGGACCTAAAAGGGAGCAAGAGGCTGAGGGGCTGTGGGAGAAGGAAAGTGAGACAGGGTGAACCCTTGATAGAAGAAGGAAGAAAACTAAAGGAGGGCAGGTTTTTTGGAGGGGGACATAAGGAGCTATAGGCTGCCACCCAACTACTGCATTTGTATCAGAGAGCCACAGTCCCCACCCTAGTTCTCTGCTGGAGCTGCAGCTGAGATAGGGTCCTGCAACTCTTGCACACCAGAATGCAGGGAGAGCTTTCAGATTTGCCATGGTTTGACTCAAAGCCAGTAGTAGGAAGGCAACAGTCTCACAGCCCAGAGTTCTTGTTGCACTGTGTGGTACTTCAGCTCAGGTCATTGTTAGTCTGAGCATCTTTGATACACACCACTGCTCAGAGGAAACTGGTCCAAGATCTGGACACTAATCTGGCGCAAAGTCTGCTCCATATAAGTAGGCAAAAATAATTTTTCATCCTCTCCATGTTTTCGGTCACTCTAATGCTGGCCTGCTCCTGATAAAAATTGAAGGAGATCCAGAGTTATTTGAATTTACACCCTGCAGCAGCTGAATTGTTCCTGTGCTTAAATTAGCTGGAGGTCGGCAGTCTTGAAGCCTTTTCTGTGTTACCCTCTCTTCCTCTCCTCCCCTTTGCCCTCCTCCACAGCAGGAGAAAAGTACACACACAGACTGTCTTTGTGTAGGAAGTCCTGGATGATTTGGGGGAAGGGTGATGCTGCCTTCAGGTCCTGTAATGATAAAGCAGAGTGATTTGTAAGTAAAAGAAGGGGGAAGGACAAGATAAGAATATGAGAGTAAAACATAATGTTTCTTTACCCACCCTCTTTCATCAATAAGACTCCAACTCAAAAGACACAAAGATCTAGATGCAAGATAAGGTGTCTGCAAGGCACCATGGTGTCTCTGCATTGCTCTGGCAAGGAAGAGCCAGAAAGTTGCTTAGGAGAGGGAAGGTTTTGGGCCGCATTCATGTGAAACATCAGCCTTTTCCTTCCGTTCCTCATATGCTTGAGCTGCTGGCAAGCACGGCTGCTCTTAGGTGGGAGTGGGAAAAGCAGAGCTGCTGGAGAGAGAGCTCGTTCAGGTTATGTTGCGCCAAGGAGAGAACAGAGTCCCATGGGGCATGAGTTGCTGAGCTCCAGGCAGGAGCAAGTGGCAGAGGCAGGGCTAGGTTTGGTACGGCAGGATTGCCACATCAGCCTCAGTGGGTGACATGTGCCTGGGGCAGAGGTAAAACACACAGAGCTAAGTTAGAATCTGAGCTCGTTCTGTTGCTCAGACACAAACAGGGATATCAGGAGCACAGGGGAAGGATGCAGGGGGTCTCTGTCTGGCATGGTTTGTGATGAGGGGAGGAGTTTGCTGAGTCAGCGACTCTTCCAAGCTGGAAGACAAATTATTCCTGCCCCTGCCAGCACTTCATGCAGATCCAGGATACAGCTCCCAGAAATGTCTCTACATATGTTAGCAAGAAGGCAACTGTCTGCACATTTTGCAGCAAGAACAGCATGGCAACCGATGCAGCCCTAAGCTGGGAGCCTGGGCTAATACATCTCCTGAAGGGAAATCTGTGCAGTACAGCGCTGACGGGCTTAATCTTGCTGACTGCCAGGGAGCAGGTGGTTCTGCCTGACTCCGAGGAAGCTCGCAGGCAAGATCCAGGACTGGAAGCAGGCAGACTGCTAGGGGCAGAGTTGGGGTCATGTACAACAGTGCAGCCCCCTTCATTACAACATCCTAATTTGCAGGGATGGAAGGCTGGGAAAACTACAGTTCCCAGCACCCTTTTGTGCATGTCCATGCAAACTACAGTTCCCAGAACCGTTTAATGAGCCAGAGAGGATGCCTATGGAAATAAATGCCGACGATTTTTGCATGACACCCTGTACTGCCGAAGTGCTGGCAGCCCTTGATTAGTGGAAATGGGAACGGGAGAAAAGCCAGGGAGAGCCAGCAATGTGGAGCTCTGGTTTTGCCCACCCCTTATAGCTGCAGTGATATCATATCCTCCAGCACAGAGCATCTTTTCTCCCCTCGGTACTCCCTTGACGGTCACAGGGAGGACCCTGGCCACCAGGAAACACGGCTGCTGCAGAGGGAGAGGTGGATAAACTACAGATCCCGGCATTCCCTGGCAGAAAGCACCTGGGGCAGTCCCTGCATGCTGGTGGTGGGGGGTGAGGATGAGGATGGAGGGCAGGGAGAACATGCAGGATGCCGTGGGGCTAAGCTGCACCTGGGACATCCCACCACCCACTGGCACCCATGCCAAGTGGGTGAGGCTCAATGTGGGGGGCACAGTCTTCCTCACCACCAGGCAGACTCTGTGTCGGGAGCAGAAATCTTTCCTGTGTCGTTTGTGCCAGGGCGAGGAGCTGCAGTCGGACCGGGTAAGGCAGCTGGGTTGCCTCCCGTACCGTGCCCCACCGAGCATGGGGAGGGCTGGAGGGATGCAGGGGTGGAGCCAGTCCCCAAAAGCTGCAGGATTAACCGAGTGAAAAATGCCTGCTCTTTCTTCCCCCTCTCCCCGGAAGGATTTTCCCTTCCCAGATCCCACCTTGCTGTGTTGTAGCCTGGTACCTGTCTTCCGGAGCTGGGAAAAGAGAAGACATGTCCCCTCCATCCCTGCTTTCCTGCCTATCACCCCACATCCCCTGGATCTAGCTCCCAGCTGTATCTGCCTGACTCGGCCTTGTTCCCTGTAAGGGAGCTCTCTACTCCCCCACACCAGGCCTGTTTGCACAGTTGCAGAAGGAGACTGAGGGCTGTTTTTTTGGCTTTCTCAGCTGCGTTGGTCCATGCTGGGGTGGGCATGCTAAGCATATAAATGCAGGAGTTACAATCCAAGCTGGGTTGACTTAGGTAGGGACTCTCAGGGGCACGTGGTCTCCAAAGAGTCTTAGAAATAGTGGACTTTTTTGCTTAGGTTTGTAATTTTTCTTATAGTTTGCAGCATTTGAGGGTTGGTTACAAGTTTCCCATGTTTTTTTTTTTCTCCTTGTGGTCTATCTCTGTTGCTAGGATGAGACTGGTGCATACCTAATAGACCGGGACCCCACTTACTTTGGACCTATCCTGAATTTCCTCCGTCATGGGAAGCTGGTTCTGGATAAAGATATGGCTGAAGAAGGTGAATCTTGGAGCTCAGAAACTTCCCACCTAATATTGCTGCTGCAGGCAGGATGCAATGGGAGTTGTTGTTGACCTTGTTGCTTCTTGTTCTTCTTCTGGAGGTTGGCATGGGGGGATTTGAGAGGGCTATCCCTGCAGCTCTTGGAAAGCATAGCAATGTCTTCTTTACTAAAGGGGTTTGGAGTAGGTGAGGAAGGCATCCTACAGGTATTGTGGCTTCACGACTGTTCATTCAGCAGATATGCCACCAGGACAGAAGTAGGCAGGATCTCTCAGCCTCAATAAGCCATTTTTCTCTTATTCCTCATCCACTTTTAACGAGGCTCTGTGACTGAGTTTTCTGTTAATGATTGAGCATTTCTAATTAGGAATAAAACCCCAGAAGACCAAACAAAGCCAAGCCTCTCTCCTCTACTGACTGTAATAAAGACCATCGTTAATCAATGATATGCAATGTATGCTACTAGTGCTCTGATGAGTTGTGGACTGCAGCAGTTCCAGTGGACCAAGCCAGACAAAAAACCCCCTGTAAACCTAAAACATTTAGGTTTACAGGGTGTCCAACAGTTAACTCAGTAACATCATGCTGTTACCAGCAGTCCCTGATGCCTCGTTATTTTCTTGGATGCTAGAGTCTAATAAGGAGCCAAGCCCAAACACAGGCTGTGCTGTTTAGCCCTTGCCAAGCACAGTTTCTGCATGTCGATTAGTCTTCTTGCCTCTCTCTCTTATGTATTTTTACCTAATGCAAGGAAAATTTTCTTCAGAACTGTTTTATGAGCTGTAAGTGCAAAAATGTATCTAGGAAATGTACAGAATTGTAATAAATGCAGTTCTGAGGTTGTCTTTTAGTGACAAGGTCAGAACAAGTTGTAATTCTCTGCCTTTAGATGAGGGCCTGAACAAGATGATAACTCATGGTCATTGAGAGATGCTGGAACCTACGTTTTTGGGTCAGTTATCTGGGAAAAGTGTTAGTAGTTCTCTGGACAAGCCTTTCAGTGGGAATTAGGGTGAGCATTAGAGATGCAATGAAGACAGGGTTCTGTTCTCTGCAACAAGAGTTTCAAGCAACAGAAACCTGTTGAAAAGTGAGGCTGCAGCATCATTTCTCTCTATGGACCTTGGGAAGCTCAAAATTGATCTTCTGCAAGCTGAAAACCAAAGATGGGCTTTTTTGTGGTCCTTCTGTCTTTCTTTCTCAGGTGTCCTAGAAGAAGCCGAGTTCTATAACATTGGTCCTTTAATCCGAATAATCAAGGATCGGCTGGAGGAGAAGGACTACACAGTAACTCAGGTATGGAGAGAAATGGCAAGGAAAGATAGTGTGAGGTGAGCAAAGAAAGGCATGCGGAAAGGGAGATGTGGGTCTAGAGGGAGAGCAGACCTGGGAGAAGCAGCAAGGAATGGTAAAAAGCAACTAATTTGAGTTTATGTGCTAAAGTCTACGTAGCAAAATCTTTCAGGGAACAGGCTCCCACCATTTTAATTGCAATAAACAAGTTACAGGCTTGTTTTGCATCCCCAGAAGTAATGCTGGATGTAGCTCCTGAAAGCGAATCAGCTCCTTTAGCTTTTGGAAGAAGGCAGCTAGTTGCTGTGGGATATGGAATAATGTTAGTGAGAAGAGTGAAGATGTCATGGCGAGGAAGGCTCTGGTGTGAGGAGTCTTGGGAGTGTAATCACAGTGAAAAGCATGGGAATACCTGTAGAGAAACCTGGAGGGAACAGGTGAAGACATATCTGCGGAGGAGTTAAATGCAGACAGTGAGGCACAAGGAATCAAACCTGTGGCACAATCACACCTTGTCTTGCCCAATAAGCTTTTAAAATCTGTCTTCTGGCAATGTTGGCTGATACCTCACTTTTCATCATGTCTGCCTCAGGTTGCAAGCCTCCAGCCTCACAGTCACTTCGTGCTCTCTGAACCCCACCAGCATTTGTGTCATTTGCATAAATGACTTTGTAATGACAAATGCAAACTCCTCATCACAAGAGCCCAGAATCTTCTGGGGACAATGCAGGAAGCATTCAACTCAATCCCTCCTCTCCAGAAGAGATACTGTTGTTCTTGCTCCCCATGACAGCGTAGGAGAAAGTTGGGTTGTGGTTTCACTCCTCTTTAAGCTGGGACATGGGGAAGAGGAAAGGTCTGTTGAGGAGGGGTACTGCCACTTCACTCTGGAGGAGGGCAACAGCCTTTAGCATCTGACTGTTGTCAACATGTTCTGCAGTTTTGCTCTCAGGTACCTCCTAAGCATGTCTACCGTGTGCTCCAGTGCCAGGAAGAGGAGCTCACTCAGATGGTTTCCACTATGTCAGATGGATGGCGCTTTGAGCAGGTATGGAGAAGGTAAAGGAGGGTGGGAAACAGTTGTCTTTAGGGGAAAAGATCATGGGTACCATACAGTACCAGGCAAGGCACCTTTCTTCTCTGAGAATATTGGGTCAGTCATTGATGGTGCCATCAACAGTGGTTCTGTCTTGCCCCTTCTCTAAAGGTTTGGAGGATACTGCATGAGGTTAAGCTGTTTTGCATTCTGGCTGACTCCTCTCCTGGTCTTTCTACTGGGGGTATGGACTGGACTCCATGCTGCATCGTGGGCTTTCTGCCTTGCTCTACAGGTGAAACGGATGTTTGCAGTCACATGTGCTTGTGATTCTTCCTCTTGTCTTTTTTAGCTTGTGAACATTGGTTCATCCTATACCTATGGGAATGAGGACCAGACAGAGTTCCTGTGCGTGGTCTCCAAAGAGCTGTGCAACTCCCCCAATGGCCTGAGCTCTGAGCCCAGCCACAAAGCCAAGGTGAGACCAACATCTCTATGGCCCTGCTCCAACTGCCTATGAGACCCTTTGCTCTTGTTTGCTCCCTCTTTTTTTCCTCTCTCCAGTGTGACTGTGGAGCACTTCAGTGGTGGAATAGAAGGGCTTGTCCTGGTGTTCAGCACTGTGGCATTATACCCATTGCCCCGAAGGAGTGTGAGTTGAGAGTGGTGGTGTCTGGCTGTGTGGCAAATGGCTTTAGCAAGTGACTCTAGCACTCTGATGCTACTCTAACATCCCCCTCATGCCTCCTCATGATATGCTGTGTGTGTCACTCTGCCTGTGGAGTGCGATTTCCCTAGAGGTTTTGCAGTGTTCTCTTTCCTTTTGCTGAGCCCCAGCCTAAGAGGCAGGAGGTCATCTGTTCCCCTTTTGAGGGAAGGACAGAAACATGTGGCAGTGCATGACATCCTGTAGACATCTAGGATACAGGAAGGACCACTAATGACTGGTGGTCCTAGGACCACTAGGGACTGGTTGTTTGGCAGTGGGATCACAACACTTGTAAGTGGGTTAGATAGCCCTGACGTGATACTCCGGAGGAAGACAAAGTCTCTGCTCCCTGACCCAGAGCTGTCTTGGCCATGGGGAAAGGTCCCTTTATATTCCAGCGTCATGACCATTGCTTTCTTCCCTTGTGTGTCAGAAAGAACTGCCATGGCTCATCTTGCAAGTATCCACTCTTTCTTCCCTTTGTCCTGCATGCTGGGCCACAGAGCACAGAGGAGGACCTGGAGGAGGAAGAGCAGGAGGTGGAGGAGGAAGAGCAGGAGGTGGAGGAGGAGGCAGAGGCAGAAGCAGAAGCAGAGGAGAAAAGTGCAGCAAATCCTTGAGGAAAATGATAAAAATAACCCCCAAGCATAGACCCGTCCACCTTTCTGGTGAGAGCTCACAGCCAGCGGCAGGGAAGGACTAGGGCAGGTGTGGGGCATGGGGACAGTCCTCTCCAGGAGCAGGAGTTCTCTGGAGACAAAGCTGACCAAGGACAGCTGTTACTGTGGCTGCTGCTTTGTATTTTAAATGGCTTGGTTTATCTATGGTTATACTTTTATTTGCAGACTGTACACCTATTCGGGACTGCTTTGAACGCCTTCTTCCTTCAGACCCTCCTTCCTGCTCCCCTCCGTGTCCAACCCAGCACTGTCACCTCCCTCCCACCCTGCCCAACTCTCCAGCATCCTTCCCTCTGCTCTCTTTGCCTACAAGGGCTCAAAGTGTTCCCTGCTCTGGACCCTGTTTCTGCTCCTCACTTTTCCTCCTCTGCAGGTATGTTACCTGTCTGCACTCTCAGCTCCTGCCAGCCTGAGCTCTGCATGAGTGACTCACTTCCCTCCTGTGGGTATGGCCCTGGTTTGTAGAGCTTGGGGAGGGGAAGGAGGGAGGGGAGGTTGACTCACCTCTAAGGCGGCTTTCCCAATTCTCATCCTACATGTGCATTTACCTGCCAAGCAGGCCCTACAGCTCCGGACCAGAGGCTCTGACAGCAGAAAGGAGAGCAGAGCTGGTGGGAATGAATGCAAACTGGGGCAGGGGGGGAAGTCTGCCACGTGTCTGCCTGACACACATGCCAGATCTCTTCTCCAGGCTGCCGTCCGCAGCTCCTTTGCCTGCCAGCCCAAAAGCAGTTTGCAGAGGCAGCCTGTTATTTTTCTGTCCCTGCTCTCGTTTCCCTGGGCTTTTCCCCCATGGCCTTTGGCAGGGTGAGAGTGCAGTGGGAGAGGGTGGCGAAGGCAGAGCAGAAGCAGATGGTCCCCTCTCCAGATGCTCTTACAGCTGTGTGCAAAATAAGCCTCTGCTCTGCCTCCTGCTCAGGGGGCTGGCTGGCTGGTGTGCATGGGATTGAGTACAGAAAGCTTTAGAAGGAGGATTCCTCTCTCATACTGGAAACTTGTTGGGGCTCTTGTTAAACCAGAGGTGCTCAGTGCCACTCTCCATCCCGGCGGAGGTCACTTGTTAGCTGGTTGACATTTCTCTCTCCCTCTGTTCAAGAGCCTCCTTGTCCATGGCTGTGGGACCTGAGTGTTACTCTCTTAAAAGTCAGTGTATGTTAATCACATGTACTTGTCCTTACTTTTTTCTGTTCTCCCACCCTCACTCCTCATCTCTTTTATTTTGATTCTGTTCTTACTTCCTGTCATTTCCCTTTCCCTGTTTCTCACTCTCCTCTCTATGCTCGATTGCTTTATTTCCCTGCCATTGATTTTTCTCTCTCTCTCTCATTCTCTAGCTGTTACAAGCCAGAGGTCTGAGGATGTGATCCCGACACTGCACTCCAGCCTTTTCATTTCTTGTTTATATCTTTATTTTTGTACTGCAGCATACGGCGGCCTTTTGCCTTACGGTGACACCCACACCCCCCCGCCCCAGTCCCCTTCACTCTATTTTACAAACTGACCTCTTAGGCCTCAGCCTCCATCCCTGGAGGAAGGCAGATGCTGCATGGAGCCCCCATGGCTACTGTAGTGGCTTGGATCCCAGGGCCCCCCCATGCTTAGCAAGCTGGCTTTCCTTAATGTCACAGTGGCCCCTGCTGGGGACATCAGTGATAAGCCACTGCAGCTTGCGGTCCCTTCCTCAACACCCTGGGTGCGACTGGGGCCCCGAGATGGTGGCAGCACCAGAAGGACTACCCCTTGTCCTTTCGCTGTTGCAGGCAGCTTGGCCAGGGCTTGTGGGCAGAGGGCAAGTGCAGAGACACTGCCCTTTTCTGTTGCCACCCGTACTGCTCACGGGGTGTCCCTGTGCTGGGTACCACATCCTTGGTGCCTCTCTCCCTGTCCCCCAGAGCAGTCCTGTGTCGGCAGGGCGACAAGGAGACAGACGTGTACCCAGAACACGCTGGCACCTGATGTGGTGATCCCTGTCTTGTGGAGCGGGATGTTGGCTTCACTGCTGTGCCTGAGGACACCAGGTTGTAACTCCTGAATAAAATTCACGCTCTGTTCCTTCTTGCTGCCTCTCATTTCAAGTGGCAGAAACTTAGTGCTGTAGCAGAGGGTGGGAGCTGGAGAAGAGGATTCATCACCTGGAGCCACCAGAAGCTGCTTGTGCTGCACCCATCTTGTGGGGGCTGGAGGTACTGCCCACTGCAATGGTGCTGCATCTCCACTGCAGTCAACTGGGTATTATTGGTATCTGCAACCCTAAATCATAACATTAAATGAGGACCCTCCATGTAGCTAGACCCCACTGTGCCTGCGGGACAGCTGAGAGAGACCATAGGGGTGTGGAAATTTTTGCCAGTTCTCAGTGCCGGGGTTGGAGTTTAGTCAAAAAGATACAACCCCCAAGGTAATTTTTAACAGAGTAATGCAAACTAGAGCCAAAAAAACCCTCAAATGAGTTTTATTTTTAATTTCAGAGGGTGGCCCATTGTATATACACACACACACACACATATATATGTATACCTTTAGTAAAAAACCCAAACCCATAGCAGTTACTCTTTAAGCACTGAAGCCTTCTCCTTCACCTCCTGGATTATCTGAGTTAGGAGATGGAAGCAGTTGAGGTGCCCTCATGTTAAAGGTATTTAGAAGGACAGAGGGAAGGGGATGGGAGACTGCTCTGATGGGCCTTTCCCTGGGGAAAGCACAGCAGCAGAGGCTGGGTGCTGCTCCAGCAGGGAGGCAGGACACGTGCCTGGGGGTGTGATGCTGGACTCATGCCTGGGAGTCAGCGAGATGTGAAGAGCTGCCTGGCTGAGCTGAGCAGCACACTGAGCAGCACGCGCCGGCTAAGAAAAGAAGCAATTAGGGAGATGGAAGAGGAGGAGTGATGGGAGGGGAAGGGGGAAGAAAGATGAGCAGCAGGAAGGAAGAGGGAGGCAGATTGATTTCACAGTTACTGGAATCTCTAACTACATCAGTCACATTTTTCTTTCAGCAAATGTTCCAGCATAAGATTGCAGCTGAATCACATGGTTCATGGAAAGTGCAGCTCCCCTTATTCCATCAACTTGGGACCGTTGCTGTGTGTTGTGTCATTGCCCCCCCCCCCAACTCTTTTGGATACATGGCCTAAAAACACCTTGGGGTGCTCCCTGGGAAGCACTGAGGGGGAAGAGGGTCTGCCTGCTTTTCTCCACAACTCCCACAGCACCATCCTGGGTCTGACAACATCCTACATAGAAACTCTCCTTCTCTGAGAGGCAAGTGAGCAAGATCAGGAATGAGTGCCATGTGGGCGTAGGTCTGATGGGGAGAAGGCAGAGATGCACTTTTCTCAGCTCATGGTTTGGTTCATCCAGCCCAGCACTTGAGTGATCCTGGTGTAGACTCCATAGTGATTCGGACGTGCGCATCCCATTCCCCAGCTGACCAAACCAGCCAGAAACCACCTGCCACTGGGTTCCTTGCAGGCCAGCGGACCTCCAGAATCACCCTAGAGAAATGGAAAGGAAAATGGGGTGATGGTGATCCATTGTTTCCTACTGCTCCGTGTGGCATTTCCAAATACACGGAGAGGAAGGAAGCTGGTGGAATTTAACTGGCTACCCAGGGGGATGGAAGACATAATAGTTCCTTGAGATTGATAGTAATTAAGGAACAGACAGGCTAATGTGTGTGACAAGTGCTAAAGAGGCTGAGGGGGTAAAAGACTCATGTAGACACAAGACTTGGAAGTTTGAGGTAAAGAGTGAAGAATGGGCTGAAATAAGAAAAGGAGAAGTTTAAGTGTAATTGGATCATGTCTAAGGCAAAGATGCTGGGAAAAGTGGTCCTGAGAACTATTGCTGGACACTTAGATCAGAGGAAGTGTTGGGAGAGTCAGGTATTTTGTAGTCTTTTCACCCTTACTTCAGGCTATGGAGTGCATTTGGGAGACTTGGAACACACCCCACCTCTGGTAGTCAACCCTCATCCCACAGTTCCTCTGTCACCTGGCAGGCATCTTTGTTGCCCTTGTGGTACCCAGCACACAGCATCCTGGGAGAAATCATGTAGTGATAGGCCTCGCTGCAGATGTCCTGCTGGATGAGCTGCACGTCTACCTTCTGCAGAACATTGCTGATGTGCCCTGAGGGGTATAGCACCAAAAGTAGTGCAGGTGAGCAATGGTGGAGCTTCCCACTGTTTACTGTGATCCCCAGCCCATGCCCATCCCACTGCATGCCGAAAGCTGCCATTTCTATTCTGCTTTTCACTGGCATCACAATCTAACTTTCAGCAGGGCACTACACCTACATACAAGGAATTACATTCCCGTTCAGCCCCCCTTTTACAGGGATATGTTGTGGGCACTTCAGCTTATGGGACAAGGGGATTCTGGTTTGGGGAAACCTTTGGGATGCCAAAGTTTTGGGTTTGCTTCTCACTGAAATCGATGTTGAGCTCTTACTGCTAAATATACAAACCAGGAAGGTCCAGTTCTGGATAGACACCCAAATGTTTCATTCAAGAAGCAGCTGGAGCAAGTGTGTGAGTGAGTGAAGGCACTAAGCTGACCTGGGTGACGGCATCTATATTTTTGTGCCATGCACTACTAGAGAACACCTTGGACCTGTTTTGCTGGCCCTGTGGGGAGGGAACATGAAAGGTTCATACCCATGCAGCTAAACTCTTCCTCACAGAACAGAATGGACTGATCCATACCACCCCATGGGAACAGGTCTTGGCCCATGCTGAACCCCAGAAGTATGTGACCACTATGTGGTCAAAATGGGCACATGCTAACAATCACGCAGTGCGGTCCTCAGGGGACACTGCACTGCTCCCATTGAATTTAATACTACACGTGTGTCTGGGGGGATCCAGGTTCTAGGGTCTTTGACATGGGAAAAGTGTTGCTATAAGCAGATGTCTGTGTAAGCATGGGGTTGAGCTTAGGGACT